GTGTAACTCTCCTGAGACTAGGCTTGCTGTAACACCCCCGCTTTGCAACACCCAACCTGCTTGCTTGCACACAGCTGCAGCAAGACAGCTTGCTTCAGGTTTTGGCTTGGAGCTCAGCCCTTCCATATATGTTCATAGATGCAGATTTGGCTCGGGAGTACCCTCTGGTGCGGAAAAGCTCCTTTGCAGTAAACGCCCATGAATTTATCCCCACGTCAAGGCTATTTACACAGCCAGAGAGAAGCAACACAGCCCTGGAAAATGCTAGAATAGAAGTGACTCCTACAAACCATCTTTTTAGGAGGTCACCTCTCAATCCCACTCCTAATTTCTAAATCCGGGGGTTTAGCAATTTTTTTTCACCCTAACTGTTAATATTCTACTAATTTTAATCATGTTGACAACCGGTCTTTGGCTGCTTGTCCTTTTTTTTTTTGCCTTAGTTCTTTAGTTCTAATTTCTATTCCTCTTTATGGCAGGCAAAGGCAGAAGGGACAGTCTGAGCTATTAATACTTCCAGAGAGAAGTGCAGTGGGGTATTTGTGGAAATTGGTATTTTTAGTGGAAAAATTCAGAGGCCAGTGCCTTCTATGAAACCATAGGTAATGATAAACCAGAAGTAAATTTTAAAATAGGCTGTTGTGAGGACTGTGTGCTGGCTGAGCTTTTTAATAACACTTCTTAAAAAGATTTCAAACATTCTGAGTGAATTGTAAACTAAAAAAAAAGGTCTGAAAAAAAAAGGTCTGAAGGTCTTTCAGGCTTGCCAACAACAAGGCATAAAAATGGATCTGTGCTCTCCAAGTACCCGACACGTGCAAGTCTACAGTCTGCTACGCTGCTCCACTCGGCTGTTGCAGTCAAGACTTATCCCACCGCATGTCCAGTCCAGTGCAATCCCCCTAAACTTTTTAACTCCCTCTCCTATTTCTCTTGCGGACTCCTCCTCACCCCCAGTTCTGCCCCATCAGTTCCTGGAACGGCCCCAGCATTTTGTTTCTTGGTTTTGTTATAAATAGAAACAGCACTGTCAAAATACTCTTGATCAGAATCCTGCCATTTAAAGATTTGCTGATGCCTCTGTAGAAAACTTTGTGTCATTATCTTTTCAACCAATCCTGCTGACAGATCATTTACTATTTGTGTTCCTCTTCCCTTGTTGTGGGCTACTGAAAAGAAGTATAGCGGACTTTTTTCCAAACTCATTCAGATTTTTGAGGCAGGTTTCTGTGCTCCCAAAGCCTGAATCTGTTGCCTTTCTGTGCGCTGCTGCCAAGTAGCGGATCTCCAGCGTGTGTCTGGAGAGAGAAGGCTGCCAGCTGCGAGTACCAGCTGGGTCTTGTGCCTCCTTTCTCATTTCAGATGAACGTTGCTTTCCAAGCTGAAAATAGTCAAGTGCCCAAGATTTCAGAGCTGTCCCCTTCACTGAGTTTTCTTTTCCTCCCCTTGCACCCCAGCTGCTGCAACTTGCATTTGAAGCACTACAAATGCTAACAAACAGGATTTGGCAATTTCACATTTCACTCTGAAAAGGCACACAAGACTCCAGTCAGCCGTTTCCTGTTCTGACTCAAAAGGATTCCTGAGAGAAAAGCTGAGCACTCGGATCACCGCTGGCCCTTTGTTAAATCAAGGGAAAAGAGCAAACTCTGAGGAAGCAGGCTGACATCCCTGCAACATACCTGCGGAGGAGGAGTAGTGTGCAGAACAGGCTGCAGTGCTCCATGATCCCTCTGCCTGCATTGCAATGGACCCTGCAGTGTACAGACAGGAGGATGACACTTCACAGTCTTTGTATTGGTCTTCCGAAGAAGAGCATGCTACAACGAAGGTTTTTTACATCCGGAAAAAGCTACTCTTCCAAGACCTGTGCAGTCTTCTCCCATAGCATTCTCATAGGGGAATTGTAGGGGAATTAGCTCTCTACCAGGTGCAGGTAGAGAGCAAGCTTTGCACCAGTCCTTTACCCTATCTCTTGACTGAACCCCGAGGCCGTGTATGCTTTCTTACCTGACAGGAAGACCAAGAAGATGGGATGCATGAGCTTCTCCATGTCAGTTGAGCAGAGAAGGAGATGAGAGGAGTCTCGAGAAAAGTGAAAAAGTCTCTTGCCCAAGAGCAGCTTGCTTTTCTGCTCTCCTTGCTGTGTCGGAAGGAATGAGCACAAGAACTTGGCATCTTTTTTGTCCTGCATATTGAGCAATTCACCAGGGACGGGCTTTTCTCTCGTGGGCGAAAATACAGGCATCAGCATTGAAATACAGCCACAATTCAGTCTAGACAGCCTGAAAGAGGGCATCATGTGATGGCCTGAAAGCAGGGTACATGGCACGGGGAGTCCTCTCCGCTCGGCAACGGTGCCTGCTCACCAGGGTGGGCTTCACATGCAAGCCTTGCAGGGGGTGAATTTCTGCAAAGCCACAAAGGAAAGGGCAGCTCTCATCAAGGCTCTGCAGGTAGCTCAGTCAGCATCATGGGGCTGAAGGGTGGGCAAGGACATAATCTTGTGGGTTATTTTCAGGAGAAAAGATTTAGAAGAGCCTGCAGATGAAACATTCCTATTTGACATATAACCAAAACCAGGAAGACAAGAACACTGTGTTGGGTTAAGCTGTGAGGTCCTTTAAATGAGCAAACCAGACATATTTATTTTGTCCCTAGCAGGGAGGGTGTAAGATGAAGGGACGGGGGCATTGATTCCGAGCCAGTCGGTGCCATACTGCTGCTGTAGTTCAGGCTGCAGTTAGGGAGCCTCCTGTAGCTTTAGCAAACTGGAAGGCTGTGGATGGGGTGCTGGGTTTTCTTTTAAGAATGTATTTACTTGGAGATCTTCCATGCAAGTATGAATAGACCCTGGTTTCTTAACTGGTGTTCTTATCTGCTTCCTAACAGGCAGATAAACCTGCAGGTCTGCCCATGCATAAATGTGCCTTCTTTTTCTTTCCTCTAATTAGTGTTTAAGAAAATGGTAGCTTACAGTATCCAAAAAATTCTCTGTGTGGCTTACTGATGGCAGTTGTTCATTCTTGCTCCAGTGAGGACTAATCTGGGTTCTCCTTGTTCACAAGCAACTTTCTCCCTGCAAATGTGTCTCTTCCAATCAGTTGTTTTCTACTATTACTCTTACATTGTTTGACCCTGTGTAACTGCACAACAGCAAATACTTAGAGGAATCTTGTGCTGAATTAACCATTTTTTCCTTCTGTTATTTCAAGATAAACTTGTCAAGTCTGAAAATCTCAAAAAACAGATCAGCTTCCGTGCTGCAGCCACAGCAAGAGAAACCTGCTGGATATGATTGGCTTGTGGAGAGTGGTCCAGGCCCCTTTAATTTGCCACCTCTCTGCAGGGCTTGGTGCAGCCAAGTAAAGTTCCAGGGTTTCTCTGGTCTTTTGGAGACATTAAGCTGAGCCCCAGCAAACTCATTTCATGTTGTTCACCACATGACTGCAAAATAAAGGCAGCATATGATCATTTGGAGTATTTCCAGCAGAGAGAGGGAAGTAATGGAACTTTTCAAGGGCCTGGTGTGCTCTGTGCTACTGTCTGTGCAGCCCTTCCTCACTTCTGTCTCAGGGCTTGGCCTTGCAGTTAGCAGATTCTGTTCAAAAACGTCCCAGCGCCCTGTCCACTCCTCTAGTGCAATACTGCATGTTGTTCCCTTCTTTCTTTTCTCCAGAAATCTCATTTTTGGTTCTCCCTGCTTGTCTTGATTCCACACTGCCTTGATTTAAGCAGCCAGTTTGGGTGTTCATGGGAAAAGACGGTGTAAGACAGCAGAAGTTTAGCAGAAGAGTGTAAGACAGCAGAAGAGGTGTAAGACAGCAGAAGGCGGCCATCCAGAAGTTGTTGAGCAAAGGAATGGCCTTTGATCAGGAGTTGGTGAAAGGATGGGGAAGTCTGCACACACTACACATGGGAAGCCATGCTTGTAAGTTCAGATTTCAGCAGCTGCTCCTTTCTGTTTTCAATGTACAGGCCTCAAAGACTGCATAAATATGCTGTGGATGACCCTGAGAGCAAGTTCAGCCCTCAAGCTTGGAAATAGTTGGGTTGTCTAGAGGGTACAGTGTTGGAGACTCACTAGTGTAATCCACAGCAGCCACACTGAATCCATCCATCAACCCTCTGCACTCTGTACAGGGACACTTATACGTGCATCCAGTAGTGTCATCACCTTCATTCCCTCTATCCCAAACTCCAGTGTGCACACACCACTTCTTGATCTAAAGCTAAACGTTTAGCTTTAGTTTGAAAGCCCCTTACCATCTTGCTTCTTACCTAAGCAGACCGATAAACTGATGTTATAGGGGAATCCTCAAAAGGAATACATACTACTGAGATGTGCCGTTGTTGTCTTGTAGCTACAAGACTTTCTGGTGCTCAGATTCACATAGCACAGTCCTCAGTTTGCAAAGTTTCCAATGCAGCGTATCATCGTGTTGCAATGCATCCTCAAGCTACTTGCCTTCAGGTAGATGCTGCTTCTGCTGTTCTCACCAAACCAGTGCTCATACCCCCCCATCCATGAACCTGGTCATTTGCCATGTGAGTTTTATCCCTAGACCACTGGAATGAATTTGCTTGGCCACAGTAGCTGAACCCTTAGGAGTGGGATAGAGTTTCTACCAGTGAATACAGTTGAAATACCAAAACCATCCATGTCCAGAAAAATACTGCTCTTTTTCAAAAGGTCAGTCCTCCACACTTGCCTCTCCAAAAGAGTCTGTGTTTTAATGGGACTGAAGAAAGCAGACGTGCAGGGGATCCTGAGAGTTACCCAGCACCTCTGTCTGACTCAAGAGAATCCGCACACTTGCGGCAAAATTCTCTACTGACCTCTAACAGGAGGGAGGTCTTAAAATGCATAAGCAATATATACATGGCAGCAACAACTTAGATCTTTCCCCAGTGTCCATCCACACACCTTCTATTCCCCATTCCCACTTTGCATTCCAGTTCTTTTCTTCCATTTCTGGATTGTTTGAGGATTCTGCACTTCATCCTTTGTCATTCGTTGTTAACTGCTTGAGTGCAATGACAGCATATTCCACATTTTCATCTTTGGATTGCCCGTCAGCCTGATTTGGTTCAACATTACAGTAGAGAGGATCCTCAGGGCTGAGCTGGGATTTAAAACTCAGGGTAACGTATTTTACGTCACTGCTGTCATCCTTGGGACTTTCCATTCTTTCAGTGCTGTCAAGCTATGAAAAGAAAGGGAAAACACTCTTTAGCACGACTCAGTGCCAGGCCACAGCTGTTATCGAAAGAACAAGATTTTCCCAGGAGGAAAGGAGAGGCTACGTAAAAATTTACCTTTGGTTATGACAGAGGTGAAAGAACAGAAAACTCTTTCCTTCATCACCTCCCTGTGATACAGGTTACAACCTCATGATCCAACCTTGGTTTTTAGTCTTTGAGTCATTTCTCAGAGATATCTAGAATTTGCTCCAATGTGGGTTTTTTCCTACTGGAGTTTCCTTACATTAATTAACCCATCTCTCTCCAGCTTGGAACAAATAAGTACCAAGGTCCTCATCACATGGGTCAGCCAGCTCCTTGAGGACTATTGCTAAGGGATTCAGGCACCATGTGGGAAACCTGTCGTTTTCCTTACCTGTGCTATGATGTCCTCTGGTATCTCATAGGTGTCCTCTGCTTGACTGTTACCTTTGGAATGAGCCAAAATCAGAGGTTTTAGAAGTAGAGAAGTCCATGAAATGGCTGGGCATTGCATATGCTTGAGGAGTTTTAGGGAAGGTTGTAGGGTTGCCAAGGGATAGGAGTGATGTGTGTGCCAGTGGGACCCATCTACCCTTAATCTGGCAAACACGTTGCTCTCACTTCTCCTCTAACATACTGGGAGGTGTCCTGTGCAGAGTCTGGAGGAACATGGGTTTGACTTCTTGTGAAAGGAGATTACAACCAGGAGCCTGCCTTGAGGCTGCCCAGTCTGCATCAGCCTTACCTACCCCAGGGCACCGCGAGGTGGGAATAAGCTTGCCTGGAGTGGAAAAGTGATGGCCAGAGAAGGCCCTGTTTAGTACAGGCTAGAATACGAGGCAACCCCAGTCTCCACCTACCTCTTCTCTTCAGCTGCTTGCGCCGCCTGACGCACAGTGTTACCGAGGTGATGAGTCCCAGGATGAACAGGATGCTCAGGATCACAGAGAGTAGGATGAAGGTATTTACATTTGAGCTGAAGCCAGGAGAGCAAAGAAGATACCAGTGTTAGATGGTAGCACAGCATGGTGCTGCCACAGCTCATTACCAGAGAGTGAAAAAAGGGACAGGAATAGTTTTTATGCACTTGAAAGAAGGGTCTGGTTCTCCTGCAGCAATGCTATCTTGATTTTTCTACCTGGCTGTGCCTTCTGTGCTTTTCCTATTCTCCAGGCTTTTAAAAGAAGTTACTGTTCAAAGTTCAGAGCATAATTCCAGGCTCTCTGGAGCCTTTTCCTCCTGTGTTTTGCTGCCCCTGGCACACTGGGAGCTGACGTGTGATTGTACTCCGAAGTGCTGCCATAGTGTTGGTGACAGCAGATGTCCAAAGAGGACAAAAATCCTTTACATTTAACAGCCTGGTAAATAGAAGGATAAAAGAGCAGCCGAGGACTATTTCACTGTTAAATATTCAGGGACAGCAGTGAACAAAGTCGAGACAGAAAGGCTTAGGGGCAGAATCTGGGGGTTTCTGTTGCTGCAAAGAGCACAGCCCAAGGAGATAAGGATAAAAGAGTTGATAGCCATCTACATTCTAGGAAGTTGTGACTTGATTTTATCAATCTGGTTCTTCCTTTGTAATTACACTCTGGGCAGAAGCTGGGAGGGGCCATCTTTGGTAAGGGCACTGTTGTATCTAATTCCTCTGTAAGCAGGAGTCTTCAGAATGCCCAGAGCCTGCCTACCCACGGAAGACAAGCATACTGGGGACGAGACATTAATAACTCTTGTCTGTGTTCAAGCTCAGAGACTTTCTTTAGGCCTTACCTCAGCTCTGGGGTGATGCCAGAAGGGGTTGTTTGACCTTTGCCTGCAGTACCTGACAAAGTTGTTCCAGACGATACTGCAATCACAAATGTTAAGAGAAGAGTGATGCTGCTTTCCATTTACCTGCTAAATTTCCCTGCCGTTGCTTAAGTAGACAGAGGCTTGTGAAAACTAAGCAAAGAGCATTGTCTGTGAAGGACTGGCTGTAAGAATTGCTTCCATGGCAGTTTCTGTGCCCAGGGGAGGTTGTGCATGCAGGAGGCTGCTTGCTTAAAGGCTGCATTCAGTCCCATGCATTAGGAGTTTCTTCTAGAGAATTATGCCACCCGGTCTCATCTTCGCGATTGCCATATTCCTTCAATGCTGCTCTGCCACATCCCTGAAAGACAGGCTGGAGCATGGTGCTGGTCTGCCACAATCAGGTGCCTAAATGTTATCTCTTACTGTTAAAACATCATTCTGAAAAGAAACCTAGAAGTCACAGGTCTTTCAAATATGTGTCTAGAGGTTGTCCTCTTGGCAACTATATGTGAAGGTCTTAATAGCCTTTGAAAGCCAAGGGATGAGTTGTCATAAAGGGGCAGAACTGCTTAGAGTGACCGAAACACCTCTGTGAAAACGATTGAAGCTGCTTTCAGGTAAAAGAGAAGCTACACAGCTCATGCCTGTGGTGCAGCTCTGATCCCTGCTGCTATTCCAGAGCATGATTGGTGTGAGAAGGTACAATGATGTAGGGTTTGGGCAGGCAAACACATGCAGATGTAACATGGGAGGGGGTGTAAGCTGGGCAGCGCAGAGACTAAGGGGAGAAGGAAAGAGAGTCTAAAATCTACAACCAACCAGGTCACTACTCACCCTCAGAAATACTGAGCGTACCCTCCCCCATCCGGTAAAGATGATTGTATTCATGAAGAGCACACCAGTACACGCCAGAGTCCTGTACCTGCAGCTTCTCCATGGTGATGGTGATAATCCCCAGCTGGGTGTCATCCTGGATCCTGACTCTGTTTCGCTGAGCTGTCCTGAGGTGCTGTGAAGGCTTCCGATTCGTGGTGACCAGTACAGCACATGATTTCGAAGTTTCCTCTTTGCACCAGGCTTTGCTCACAGCCCCATAGAATGAGGCGTTGTAAAGACAGAAGACAGAGACATCACCTGACTCATTGGCTGTGTATTCTCTGGTCCCTGGAAAACACCCAGCACGTTTGGTGAGATCCCAAAGCAGGCACAATGGCACCTTTTCTCCATCACTGGAATACATGCTGTGGACTGAATGCTCCCTGGATGTCCTTCTACCTCCAGACATGAGGAGCAGAAGAGGACTGGGCCCAGATTACTCATGCAGAGGTGAGTCATAAATTAGGTGGAGTCCTGTCCTCTTCCTTTGGTTCTCCCAGGGACTGCATGCTCACAGGCGCAGAGCCTGTAGGGTTTGGGGGGCAAGGACCAAGGAAGGGTGGCAGTTGCGGGGCCAGAGCAAGAGCAATGCCTAGCAGTGGGGGAGGTCTCCAGCCGTGCCCAGCATGGGTAAGCCGAGTGCTGAGCTGGGGAAGCTGCTCCTGGGGCTCTCGGATTGGCCCTGTGGGAAGCAGTTGTGAAGAGTGGCCCTATTCATGGGAGCCCATGGGAACCTTCCCTGAGCCTCTGCTGGGAGCAGGCAGAGGATGAAGGGCCAGGCCTAAGCTTTGACTCCACAGGTCTCTTGGGCAGCCACCTTTGTGTCCACCAGAGAGACAGGCAGGCAGGGAGAGATGGGTGCCAGCTGTGCGGTGGTAGCGCTGGGCTCCTCCATGGTGTAGCACAGGATGGGAGGGAGAACAACCAGGGGAGATGGGGCTGAAATCTGCCAAGAGGCACGCTTGGCTGCCAGCATGTACTCACTCTTGGACACAGAGAGCCTGATCTCCATTATCCGAGTGGGAAGAGGTTCCGTGTAGAGTGCACACCAGTACACGCCAGTGTCCTTGGCCTGCAGCTTCTCCATGGTAATGGTGACAATGTGCTTCTGGGTGTCATCCTGGATCGAGGTTTTGGCTCTCCCGGGTTTGCTGTTACGCTGTGTTGAAGGGTATGTCCTCACAATGATGTCGCACTCAGTCTCAGCTCTTTGACACCAGACTTTTATATCCGTGCTGTACACTGGGATGCTGTATGGGCACTGCACAGAGAGACTGTCCAACTCCAACATGTGCAACTCTGTGAAACAGCACATGTTGTCACTGACCCATGAGCAGTAGACATATGGGCATTCGCCACCCAGCCAGAGCTGGACGCCGGGGCCAAACTCTGCCCTGGGGCAACTCCCTCATGGACAACCAGTCAGTGAGGACAGGGGTGAGGTAGGGCAGGACAAGAGGGAGCCGAGAGCCTGCAGGGACAGCTGGGTCTCTGGGGCTCCTTCCCACCATGCCTGTGTGAGTGGGGAAGGTGGTGAGTGAAGTTGGGGAGGGTGAGGGGCTGGGGAGGTCAGTGGAAGCTGCTCACCTGTGTGGGAGAGGGGGAATAGAGCAAGGGAAGGAATGACGTTGCTCTCTGACAAGACTTGAGTTTGCATGAGTAAAAAGGTACTCACCCTTGAAAACATTCAGTGAGATTGTCTTCAGCCAGTGATATCCATGGTAGGAAGAACCGTACACACAGGAGTACATGCCTGAGTCCTCTACCTGGAGGTTAGTCATGGTGACGTACATGGCCTTATACGTAGGGTTGTCCTGTAATATAATTTCCCCCCTTCTGGCCCTGTTTGAGGATGAGTATGGCATTTCGCTGGTTGTCGTCACTAAGAACTTACATTCTGCATGTTCTCTGCGGCACCAGGCTTTCTCCCACCTGTACTGAGCCACTGATGTTGAGTAAGGACACTGGATATACAGAGTGCTTCCTTCTGATCGGCTCTCCTCAGCATCAGATGATTGGGCTTGGAGACCTGCAAATATCCGATGTGGTGAGGGAGAGGGGAGCTGGTGCAGGGCTGCCCACAGCTTCCTGACAGACACAGGCAAACTCTGCTTCCAACCTTCCTCCATGGGCACTTGGGGCTGGAGGAACTCCAAAAACCACCATCCATTACCCCTGCTAAGTTCACCTGCTTGGAAATGGGAAGGTTGATTTCGGGTGGGCAGGGTTGAGCTGGGGCCAAAACTGATTTAAAACCCCCAGACAGGTGGGTGCTAGAGGTGTTGCACCTTGAACCCTAAATGGAGACGTGCGTGGCACAGTGTTTGGAGCTGCCCCAGCAGTCCACCCCCCTTGCTGTAGGTGAAATGAAAACCAACCCCTCCCCACGAAGGGGATGGCAGTGAGGGGGCTCAGCTGCCCCTCAGGAGTCCGGTGGCCATCTGTGCGGGATGTGGGGACGGGGCAGAGGGAAGGAGCAATGGCAGCGTGTGTGTGTCAGGGACAATATGCTCAGCTTGTGGCTGGGGCTGAGCTTGCCCCCAGCAGCCTGCAGCTCCTCCCTGCCACATCCTCTGGGGATGCCCAGTGACTCAGGGCATGAGGCTGTGCTGGATGCAGGGCTGCCCAGGCACCCCCCATAGGCAGCCCCCTCTCTCAAGGGTTTATCCATTGGTCCTGAATGCTCCTGGTGAAGAGCTGGTGGAAAGATAGGGGTTGCTGCAGGAGAGGAAGAGAGGGCGAGAGGAGCGAGGCACATCTGGGGCAGCTCTGCCCAGAGCACGTCTGTGCCAGACAGAGGCTGCTGAGCGCTCTACACACACGGGTCGAGCACTGAGAGACAAACAAGCCCTTGGGGATGGAAACAAGGAGCTGGCGACCTTTCTGACTCAATTCCCCAACCCACCCCATGCCGAAAGCAGGGGAGGCAGGCAGGTGTCCCTGGACACCACTGTCCTGACCTAGGACTGCAATCGGAGCAGCCGAGCGGAGCCAGGCAGTGTGATGGGAAACAGGCGCTGGGGCTGCTTTGGAGGCCACAGCTCTGCGCTCCCAGGGGCGTTTGTCCTGGGAGCCTGGAGGAGCCAGATGTGTGGTGGTGGGAGCTGGGGCTGCCCCTTCCCTCCCCATCCCTGCTGTGCGTTGCTCAGCTCAGAGTCCTTTTGGTGTCAGGATACCCCCCCCCACTGTGGAGCTCCACGGGCAGCTCCTAGGTACGTGGGAAGCCTGAGGCATGCCCAGCCCTTCTCTTACCTGGGAAGCAGAATGGCAGCAGGAAGAGGACTCTCAGCTCCATGGATATCCTCAAGCCCAGGAAAGGGACATTGCTGGGGGCTGCCCAACATGCCCTGTTCATCAGTCTGCCTTGTGAGCCCTCCTGCCTCACACTGACGCTTTTGGAGGAAGTACTGAGGTCTTGCCTTCCCACGGAAATCCTTCACCATGTTTTGCAACAATACTGATATTAAGATAATTTCAGGGTACATTTGGGGAAGTGGCTGAGAGCAATGTTCTGCCTATCCTGATGGCAAAGGCCCTTTGCTGCTCTCACCTGGCTGTTGTCACACTCTGCCCTCATGCCAGAGGCAGCGGGACACTCCTTTGGCTGTCCCGAGCCATGAAGATGGAGCAGGTCCTTTGCCCTGGCCTCACCCTTCTCTCTGGGCTCCTAATGCACCCTCTCCTCAGGCCCTTGCTGGCAAGTCTCCTCAAAGCCAGGGTGGCAATTGGGATCCCAGATCTTCACCACCCCAGCCTGTCCCCTTGTGCCTTGTGCTCTGCCATGCACAGAGTCCTCTGGGTGCCAACCCCTGAGTGCCCAGCGGGACAAACCAGAGCAGAACCCATTACACAGGAATGTCTCCACAGGCACAACTGAAGTGATTTTAAGTTTAAGAGAAACAATGCAAATATTGAAATAATCCATTCAAACCATCTCCTGACTCCTCAGCTCACTGTGAACGGACAGCTAAACACAACTTGCTGGCTCTGCATGTCCTTGTGGCTCTCCTGTATGATTCGGGAACTGAAGATGAAAGGGTGAGAGAAGTAGGAGTCAGGAGCATCCTAGCAGGTAAAATGAACTGCAGAGTTGTGCTGGTTTTAGTTGGGACAGAGTAGCACAACAGGCGTACAGATGGCAGAGAAAGGATGGAGCAAGAGACACTCACCTATGAAGACAGCCAGCTTAATTTCCTTTATTCAGAAGAGGAAGAGCTATCGTAAAGAGCACACCAGTACTCCCCAGTGTCTTCTACTGTGAGCTTCTCCATGGTGACACTGAGAACTCCCCTCTGGGTGACACCACGTATGGGGCATCTTCCTTTCCGAGTGTCATTCTCGTCTGACCGCTCGCCTTTTCTGTGCTGACCAAGACAGCACCCTCTTTCCTGACTGCCTTTTTGCACCAGGCTTTCCACCCAGTCTTGTGATCTGCATGTTGTAGGGGCACTTGACAGAGAGACTGCAGCTCCCTATCAACACATCCATGGGTTACTGGAAAAGGTCAGACTGGTTAGTAAGGTCCAGAGAAAAAGTCCAATTGCACAGTTTCCTGCAATTAGAATAAGCACAATATTGTAATCCAATTCACAGGAATTTTAGCTACAGGAGGGTCAAATTGAACTGGAACACTGAGTAAAAAAGAGTTATCCAACATACTCTGTCCTTCTGAAGAAATTTTAGAATAATATAATCATCTCCCCAAACAAAGCAAAGCTGCTTGTAACAGCAGCATCAAGAGTCTTTGCTCTGAATTTGTCAGCCAAGTTGGTGATCAGAGAAAAACAGCCAAAACAGAGAAGAATCGGAGGTACCTTATGTACAAGAAATTACAACTGTTTTTTCCTGGAAGGGAAATGACAGGGGTGATATTACAAAAGTCTATAAAATCAAGAATAGCGGGGAGAGAGAGAATGGGAGCAATAATTCATGGTGTTATGAGAAGGAAGTCCCTAGTTAGGAGAAAAGGAAACTCTCCACACTGCATCGAGTGTGGAGCTCGCTGCCACAGGATGTTCGTGTACCAGGAGTTTCTTGTGTCAGCAGAATGAGTAGATGAATTAAAGAGAATAAAAAGAATTTACCCATTGCTATTATAGCAAAATTATCCACTCCAGAAAATCACTGGAGGCTGGGAGAGTATTCTGAAGAACTGCTTCTATATACTTCTCTGGTTTTATACTCCTTCCTAATTATCCGCTTCAGCCAGTGTTGGAGCCCTTTGGTCTGACCTGCTATGGCTATTCTTACGATTTCTCAGAAACATGGGAGAAGGTAATACAAAACCCTGAAAAGGTAAATGGAAAAAGCGAGGCAGAAGTCTGCAAAATGCCCCACATTTTCCTTAAAGAGATAGTCACTCTTGGAAATGGATAGCTTAATCTCAATTCTTTGGGAGAAATGAGAACATGTACAGTGTGCACACCAGGACACTCCTGAGTCTTCCACCTACAGCTTCTGTGTTGTGACTGATTGGCCCCTTCTGCGGTGTTTCTCTCCGAATGATCCTTGTTTTGATATGCCGCCAGGCGGCAATCGGCGTCGACCGAGACACCACATTTGCCTTTATCTTCTCCTCAGCACCAGGCTGTCCTCGCAGCATTGTAGTTCTGGATGTTACAGGGACCTACAACAGCGAGACTTTCAGCTCCACAGCAGAATGGTATTGGAGCACTGCAGAACAGAAAACCACGGAGTAATTCCCAGCTAAGAGCTACGATGACACATCTTCCAGCAAAGACCTACCCACTGTGGGATGGAGCCTTCACTGGTGAAATGCAGAGCCTGGTTTCAGCTGTGTCCCAGTCGAGGTGGACTTCAGCTGGGACCTCAGCCCTGTGCATCTCACACACCACCTGCACCCTCTGCCTTAACATCTTATTTTCCCACAGTGTCCCAAGTTCTGACAGGAAGAAGCACCTGAATTTAGGTGCACAATTTACAAGCACTCCAGCTCTCCTTTCCTGTTACCACCATCACAGCAGGGCTGGGAGAAACTCATCAGTGTTCACAGCTGAGCAGCCTCAGCCCATTTTCAGATGAGTTGGTATAAAACCTCTGGTAGGGAGTAGTCATTCCCTTTTTCTGACTTTGGGGAAGAACCTAGTGAGCTGGGAGTTGCTGAGCACATTCTTAGGCTGCCTTATCTCTGGTGGTGGCTTTTTGGGATGAAAAGCCTCTTGGAAAATAGTTGAAAGAATGCAAACATGGGGTAAGCCTTAAAATAACTTGTCTTTTTTCACAGAAATGGAGAAAAAGGAGACTAATGTAACAAATTTAAATAGGATTTTGGTTGAATTTGGTCTGAGGAGTATGTGATCTAGCCATAAGGTGACAAAAGGTTAGGGAGAAGGGGAGTCTGGGGTACATTCAGATGTTTCCCCCAGGTTTGATGGTTATTCTATAGCCATTATTTTGTGCTGTCTGCTAGCTGATGAGTACAAACCCTGTGGTGAGTAAGACAGGAGTAGGGGAAAGGACTGCAGGAGACCAGGCAGCGGAGCATTTGCAGAAGCTGGTTCTCTTGTGTTTCTCGCTGTGGGGGTCTGTCTGTGCCCCGTGCAGTGTCACGAGTTGTGTGAGAAGATAAAGTGCCAAGCCGGCAGAGGGCACGCTGTTGTTTCAGTGCTGGCTCACCGACGTTTCCCTGTTCAAGATGCTGTGATGCCTCATATATGGAGGATGGACTCCTCACCATGTTTTCAAATTTTCCGGTATTTGTCTCTCTCCAGTGAAAGAAAAAAGAAGGACCCTTGTATCTCAGTGTCTCTCTGCATTGCTAATAGGAAAATGGGGTCATTTCCTTATTCCAAACTCACCCTTCACTGTATTGTAAAGGATAACGCAAACTTAAAGTAAAAAACCTGATCTTTCACATAAAGCAAATCTATTTTGAGGTTTAAAATATCACAATTTTGCACTAAAGTATAGTTTTCCTTAAGCAAAGATTGCTGTCTATGAAGCTCTGGTGCAGGAACTGTTCTTTGTGTTGTGTTGTCGGGGGACTCCTTGGTTTTAGTCTGTCCTGCT